GCGGATTATTCAGAAAATTTGAAACCATGCCTTTGCCTTAAAGGTTCTGGTTAAACGCATCTACTTTTTCTACAGCTAGCATTATGCTGAAAAGCCAGAGAATGCCTCAAACTTGGGAGCATTGTACCTAATTACCCAAACCAGAGAATGCTCACCAGCCTTTCCCCTAATTAATAGTAAGGCTTAAATAGAATTTATTTCCCTTTTCACACATTTAGGACCACAGCCTTATGTGATGACCCAGAACAAGACATGAAGGTCACACAACCAGCTGAGAATTCAAACTCCCTTTTAATGGTCCAAATTTCTCCCCAAACGCTCCCCTGTTCTTGGCAACTCCCAGATCAAAGTGCCCACAAACACACACAGCAGCAGCCTCTTAATCTTCAAAGTGAGCTTGTATTGGCCTAATAATAAACATTGCCCCAAATAGCTTTGTTAATTTTTTCGTCTCCAAATGGACATTTTTGATTTTGGGGGAGAATACTTTGAGAACCCCAAATTTAGTTATTTAAAATAGATTCTGCACTAGGGAAAGATGTTTCAATGATACCAGGTAGAACTCAGATGTTATTCAGCTACATTCTCTCCATTGACTAAGTAAGATTTGGCCCTGTTTTTTTTTTTTTAATGAGCATGCCATTTAATATCCTTTCCTGCTGTCAGCATACTTTTTCTAGTTCTGCTTTCCAATTATCAAGATGCCTTCATCCTGCAGCCAAGGAAATATAAATGGGACAAAATATAAAAAGTAACCCATTTTCATATTTTCAGAAAGGGAGGATTTGTTTTTTTACCTCAGGAATTCTCTGAGAGAAGTACCTTCCAAAGCCAAAATGAAGTATTTGCAGCTAACTCCTACAAGCCATTTTAAGAATGTAATTAAAGATGGTTTGAACCTGAGCCACTTCACTCCTGTTTGAGCTATTCTGCTGATGTAGGACTCTGGAGATTTCAACACATGCCATTTTATTTTGTGATCCTGAGATACACTTTGCTCCACAAGAGCATTAATGAAATGACTTGCTAGATTACAAACCACGTGGTTCTATATTTACAGTCAAAGAATCCCTTCCTCAGCAGCAGAAAAAAAAAGTGGGGAAAGCTACATATTTTACAAGATAAGCTGAAGGTTGAAGATTCTTTGAGAGGAATCTGATGTATTTTGCATACATCTGCAGAAATTGCATGGAAGAATGCCTTTTTCTTACATAAATATTTATTTTTTAATAGAGAATACCACATGGGTTTTGTGATCTACCCTTCAGGAGCAATGACTGTACATCCTATGGGTTCACACAGCACACTAAACCATGGTTTGTTTTAATCTTTTTTGTTATTAATGGATAACACTGAATTGTGAGTTAGACCTTCATGCTAAGATGCTGGGAAGTTGTATGCTTTGAAGATTAGCTGATGCTTTTGTAAAAATGTTTGGTAAATTTTCAGCAGCCGTACTGTAATTCCTTGATTTTCATCTCCCTTTCAAATAAAAGCAATATGGCTTCCCATCTTCTTAGCATGAACTGAATAATTCTATGCTCCCCGTTGTTTATCTTCTTTTGCAAGATATATACAAAAACTATATAAAGTTTTCTAGAGACAGAAGATATGGGGAAATATTCCAAATACTTTGTTCGAATAATTTCCTTAAGGATTACAGCTGCCACTGATTCTTTAGAAAACTGAAAGAGAACCATTGAAATCCATGTTTTATTTTGTTTATACCCCAGTTGTATGTGAGTGAAAGAGAAAAATAATAGGCATAGTAGAAGCAATAAAAGTATCATCTTAAAATAATATGTAGCATGCAACATTTTTCAGACGGGACAAAAATAGCATTTAACATAATGACAAATGTAATTAATGTATTTGAATTGTCAGCAAGTTAATATCTACTGGAAGCACAAAAAGATTTGAACTTCACAAGGAAAGCTAAAAGCAATAAAAGCAATTTTTATTTACATCAGAAGTCAAAAGGAGAAAAAGGAAGGGATGGGATTGATGCCTGGAAAGATAATTATACTTGATAAGAAGAAAGCAGGCCACCTCAACTGTTTTGGTTCAGTCTTCTCTCTTGAATGCTGTCCAACTGGACACATAGAGAATAATTGACACAATGAAGAATTGGAAACTGAAGTGCATTGTTATTTAAATGAACCCTGGGTGGTTAGGGATTCTGTTACTTGCACTGACAAGTGGTTCAATCTGATATTTTCCATCTAATTCCTTCTAGTCATTACATTGCAAGTGTAAGGCATCCAGAAAGTATCCATGATATCAATCACTCTGAGACATTTTCTCTCCAATTGATTTACTTAGAAACAGATCTGGCATGTCAAAGACAATTTCCCAAAGTGAGAATTTTTCACGCGTTACACAGAATCCACCTTCTCTCCTCCCTTCTCTCCTCCCACTTCTACACTTCATAAATCACGAGAACTAATTAACTGCCACTGGAATTTCTTAATACGACATACAGAATAACCCTGAACTTTTCAACTCCTCCAACTCTCTTAAAAAATGTGGCAGCTGAATTTCAAAGCTGACAGCAAGATTCTATAATTGCAACAGATTAAAAATTATTATTAAATACACAGTATTTTTCTTCCTCTTCTTTCATATCTACAAATTACAATTTGATAGCAAGCTTTGGAGGATTCTGGAGTAAATACCCCAAAAATGGAGTGGGCAGATATGGCCCTGGGGCCCAAGTTACAGTTTATGCCTTACCGCCATCATAATGGTTTAAATACATTTTCTGTTTCTTGGTAAATTGAATGAAACCTATTAAAGCTGAGGTTTAAAACAGATCAATGTACTTTCTACAGCTAGATTCTCTTACAAGCAATAAAATGCATACAAGCTTAGCTCTCACTTCTCTTTAGAAATCATGTGTAGCATGCGAGTTACCTCTTTTATATTCCAGGATTTTAGTGGAATATAGTTGCATTTGAATTCCAAGAAAAATAGTAGGTGCATTTTGCTTTACTGTGATAGATGCTTTTTTATTAGCCATGGTGGTGCAGTGGTTAGCGTGCAGTACTGCAGGCTACTTCTGCTGACTGCTGGTTGCCTGCAATTTGGCAGTTCAAATCTCACCAAGCTCAACGTTGACTCAGCTTTCCATCCTTCTGAGGTGGGTAAAATGAAGACCCAGATTGTTGGGCACAATAGGCTGACTCTGTAAACCACTTAGAGAGGGCTATAAAGCACTGTAAAGCAGTATATAAGTCTAAATGTTGTTACCATTAAGGTTAGTGATTCAGGTGTCTCATGAAAAGTTGTCTACTGATTGAGTATCAACCACACAGATGCCTGTTTGTATCAATATATACATTTCCATAGTTAAATTGGAATATAAAGGTAGATAACAGCATCTCTCATTAGAGGTTGTGATTTGCATTGAGTAGCTTGTATCAGCATAGTGAGCTCCATAAATTGGAATACAGAGCCACAGTAGCTCATTGCTAAAGGTGAAGGTCAAATCTATTAACTAGATGAAATTGGACAAGAAAAGATCCAAGTGATGAGCCTTAGAAATATATTTTTTTCTCAACTCCATGAAGTTACTTTTAGTTTTAGTGTTACCATGTTTCCCCGAAAATAAGTCCCTGTCTTATATTTTTTTTGCCACCAAAAAAGGCACCAAGTCTTATTTTGGGGGGATGTCACCCACTGATTAACCTCATTTGCACGTGTCGCCCCCGGCCTCCTTTTCACTGTCAGAGGCCTTCAGGAACTTATTCTGTGGCCAGCAAGGTTTTCCTGAAGGCTTCTGCAGCCAATAACAGAGCTCTGGATCGATCTTGAGCTTTGTTATCAGCTACAGAGGCCTTCAGAAAAGCCTTGCCAGCTGCAGAAGAAATGGGCCAGCAAGGCAGGTGTCAGGGTGTGTGAGTCCTGGCTACAACTGTCCAAAGGTAAAGTAGTAGAGCAGCTCCACCCACCCATCCCCACCCTAGCTTAATTTTTATCTGTGCACTCTGGAGTGGGTGGGGTCTTAATAAGGGCTTATTTTGGGGGTAGGGCTTATATTGGGTGCATGTGTAAAAATCAAGCTAAGACTTACTTTCGGGGTAGGTCTTATTTTCGGGGAAACAGTGTATATTCTGCTTGAAGACGTAAGTATAATTAAAAGCTATGTGATTTGTGTGATATTGGCTGAGTAGACAGCTAAATTGAAAGCTAATTTGGTTAATTTATTATTAACCAAATTAATTATATTATAATTTATTATTAACCAAATTAATCAATACAAAGGAAGTTTGTGAAAATAACAACCAATAATGGATAATGTTCTAGGCCAGGCTGGAGAAACAATAGTTGAAATAGGGGGTGGAAATAGCTATTGAGGAAAAACAAAATAATGTCAAAGGGAGAATATAAGTAGTACAAATCAAACACAAAGCAAAGACATTCTATGAACATTCAACAGGTAGTATCTGTTGTCATTGGTACCTGTCGTCCCAATGTGGAGATTGCATTTGTCTGCTAATTTATAAAAATGAGTGTTTCCCAGTCTTTACACTAGTATTCTTCAAAGGAACAAAAAAACTGCACCAATAATTATTATTTCTGAGATATGTACTATTTATGTTACAGAGTATCTATACTCTAATGATAATCAAATCTAAACTTATATGTTTATGTACATATAATAAGCAATATATTTTAATAGGTTCATTGCTAAAATCAGCTGAACAAACTAAGCCTACAAAGTAAAAATCTCAGTGATAAAAAAAATATACCCATTAATAAAAACTACATTTAAATCCATGTATCTTCATTTAATAAATTCTTTTCTTGATCACCTACTTCACTGTATTTGTTTGCAATGATCAGAAAAATGATTTCTGATTTGAATCAAAACCCAGATTATTTGAACTTGATTTTTGAAAAGCAATGTTATTCATCTACTTGGATGATGCACATTGCTAGAACTTACAGCCAGAACAATAGTAGAAATAAAGCAAAAAGCACACACCTTAAAATCAGCATTATTTCAAACTCTACCATTTATTGATGGTCTTCAGTTAAAGCCTCAGAAAAATTAAATACTGTCCCAAGGCATGAAAAATACACATAATTTTATCAAAATATTTGTATTCCAAAGGGTATGTACATATCATACACTTTACATAACTGTAAACAGGGAAGTTTTTTTCACCACCTGTAACATAATTTTGTTTAATTAGTAAACTCAGATTTGTATTGTTATACATATACAATTGGATGCCATGTTTAACACAAAATCCTTTTTAAAAAATGTATAAAGATATGGTTCAAAACATTTACAAAAGTAAATTACCATCGGGTTAGTACAAAATGAATTATATTACATTCATATAAAAAGATTAAAAGAAATTTTCCATTATGGTTGTTGTGGTGTATCTTAAAAGCAAAAAAAAGGAAAAGATTCTCAAGCGTTGAATTATTATTATTTTTTCTTTCCTGTGATAGAAAAAAATAAAATGGAATTTCACCCCTGATCTGAAGAATGTTTGTGCTTCTGAAAAACATTCTGAAATATTGTTTCTTAACCTTGGCAACTTGAAGATGCGTGGACTTCATTTCTTCAACGGCCTGGAGAATTCTCAGAGTCGAAGTGGACACATTTTCAAGCTGCCACGTTTGAGAAACACTGTTCCAGAAGATATCCAATCGGCCTGTGTGTGAAGGAATCTTCCCAATTTTTTGATTCAAACTCCTCTCAGCAACAGCCATGCTAAGATGGGGAATTCTGGGAACTGAAGTCCAACATCTGCATGCCTAGGTTGGGGAAGACCGCCATAATTAAAAGGATATAGGTTTGTATGTGTATATGTGCATATACTGCAAGTTACAAACATTTGACAAACAGCACAAACATAAACCTTGGACTTGGAAATTTTCCCCAATGTGAATATGTGAAAGAAACTCACTCTCCTGTGCAAAAGATAAGGTGGAGAATTACAGTGAGGAAAAGGCTTTTGGAATGGAATCTTCATCAAGGCTCTACGGCACGGGAGGAGAAAGTCTTCTTTCCAAGATCTGCATAGAATATGTTACCATGATGGAGTTCATAGTATATATTGTTTGGGAACAATCTTTGATTTCCCAGGTAGTTGCGCAGCATTTGTGACCCTTATAGCATCAGGTGGTACAGGTACTATTACCTTCTGTGCATGCACATATTAATGTATATTGATTATTCCATCAGCAAGTGCATGAGGTAAGCACTATTGATTAATCAAAGCAAGTCTAATAATTGAAGAAGACAGGAATGTCTATGAGTATTTGAAAGCTTCATTCTGTTTCCAATTGTGACACCGATTGGTCAGTTGATATGCAGTTCTCATACTTTAGTTCCAAAGATGAGCAGATTCAAAAGAAACTGCCCCTGTTTCCTAACACTAAGGAACAATAAAGTTGCTCCAAGATCATTCTGGAAGTTATTAAGAACTTGACATCAGAAACACAAGCATGGATAAAGCAAGAGAGTTGGCCAAAGGCTCCCTTTAGCTATCCACATGTTCTTTTTTTTTTTGTTTCACAGTTGGCTCAAAACAGGCATATGGAAAAAGTCAACTTAAGACTAGAATATCTGGGGAAAGAATATCTGATTCTCTTGTAAGTATGATTACTAGAAACATCCACTAAAAGTTAAACAAAACAAGAAAGACTGCATTAAAAATAGGGAGCATGGATAACGGAGGGGTGTGCAAAGGAAGCTTTGTAGAGTAGAATAGAGAACATATGGCATATTAGACACCAGGGCAAAAGTTTTCCATGCCTAAACTAAGTGATTAACTTGTGTCTATGCTGTACTGTTTCAGATGGTAGATGGGTGACAGGGCTAACAAATCTGGGCTAAAATCCAGTGCAATAAAGAACAGCCATCTGGAATTTTGGACCAAGATACTCAACAAGGAAAAATATAAAAATACTTTCACTCCTGTATGACTCTACGAATCCCAACACACTAGTTTTTTATATGCCTAAAATACTTCCTGTATTCTGAATTTTGATATAACCAAGATGAAGGTTTTCAGATTCTTGGAGAATCATGGTAATAAAAAAGCCTTGAGAGAAAGCTATTTTAAAAAAACCTTAAAAGTCCAATGTGACTTTTTATAAATTAGGCAATGGTGAAAACAAAGTATGATTGAGTGCAAATAAACCAGAGAAAGAAGAGATTCACATATACACATCACCTTTTAAATTAGACAAAAATGGGAGTTTCTAATAACAAAAATGTATACAGGTCCACTCAGAAGCAATTTCCATAGTTTTCAAATGTGAGCTTTCACAGATAATGAAAACAAGTCAGTGAAAGAGTCAGGACATTCTATCTTCATCAATGGATGACAACCAATCTTGAGTTAAGGCAGCTTTTTCAGCTTCATACCATCTAGTTGAGTTATGGCTATAAGTCCTATAAAATTTCTACCCAGTTGCAATCCTAACACACCTGAAGAAAGAACTAGGGCATGTAAGGCAGGATCAAACATAAACGTTACCCTGCTGGATCAGAACAACCAATCATCTAGACTAGCATTCTGTGTCATATGATGGCCAAGCACTGGGAAGTTCATAAGGAGGGACAGAAGGATAACAGTCAGCCTACAAACATTGAAGTGAATTTTACACTCTGATCTGACACCAGCTCAAGCATTCCCCTGTTGCTATGCCTTTTGAAATATGCCAACATAGCTGTTATAAATCTGTGCTAACAACATCTGAATCAATGACACTTAGGCAAACTGATTCTAGCCAAAATGAACACAGGACAAGTCAGCAACAGGCTCACAGAATGAATGAATTGAGATATGGGAGCAGTCAGTCCTTCCTCAAGCTTCAAGCTCAGGCACTAGTTTTATTGTTGGCTTAAAGAATACCGTACCTTGGCTTCTCACTATACGGACAATGCAAAAACAAAACACACATAGCCCTTTTTTTAAAAAAAAGGCATCATAAAAAAATTAAGAAAAAAAAAGAAAAGAAAAAACAATACTTTTCCTATTCTATTTTTTTTGTTCCATAAAACTTATATTAAGAATGCAACCTAAAAATACTGTATTCATATAAATGCACAAAAACCTCCAATAAAAAAATATAATATATTCATTTTTGTTAAAAGGCTCATTTTTTCCCCCTCTAGAATCTACACAATTTTGCTCTTACTCTCGTCCCTTTTTCTTTCACGTAATGTCAGGAAACAATCCCAGAATTACATTTCCCCTCGCCTGCGGCTTTTATCTGCAGCAGGAGCACCATCCTCCTCTTCTTCCTCTTCCTCTTCCTCATAGTTTTCATCATGGCCTTCTTTCTGTTGCTTCCCTTCCTGAATGTCTTCCTCTTGATCAACTCCTTCGCTCATCTTTTCTTCAGCCTGGATATCCAAAAATTGGTAAAAGACAGAGACGATTTCAGGACACAAATTGAAAAACCAACAAAGAAACAACATAGAGAAAAGGATACAGCATTTGGGAAGTATAACTAATACATTTTATAGATGGAAATATAATGGAGGGAAACTAAACAATGAGAGAAGCAACCTGGAAATAAGGAGAAACTTCCTCACAGTGAGGAATATTAACCACTGGACAGCTTGCCTTCATCACTGTAAATTTTTAAGAAGAGACCAGACAGCCACTTGTCTGAAATGGTATAGGGCCTCATTCTTGAGCAGAGATTGGACTAGAACATGGGTGTCACATGACGTATTGTGACTTATCATTACTCTTTTGCCTTTGCAGAGCCGGGGTGGGCATGGCCTGTGCATGACGCAACTGGCCTGTGGGCCACCAGTTTGATAGGCCTGGACTAGAAGACACCCAAAGTCCCTTGCAGCTCTATTCTGATTTAAATTTAGATTAAATTCTATAGTAGATTCCAATTGTTACAGCAAAATAGGTGGAATTGCTTCCCTCCCCTCCAGATAATTTTCTGGAAATGGGAGAAAATTCAAAGGGATATGTATCATGATATTAACGTCCTACATCTTTCGCTCTATAAAAGTGAAACAGTCATAAATGAAGTATGCATACTGTGCAGCTTCTGAACTACATAATCTAACCAGATTCAGTTGTCTCAGCCACCAACTTTCATAGCTTTAATTCTAACTTAATGTCCGTGGACCTTGCCTCATATTTAAGAGGTCCCTACGAGGGAGTATGTAAGTGCCTATTGTCCCCGTCACATATTAATTTTTTATTTTGTTCATTTGGATTTGGATTTTTCATTTGATGAATAAATAAATAAATAAATAAATAAATATGTAAGTAAATAAATACATGAATAAATAAAATAAACAAACAAGCAAACAAATAAATAATCTAAGCTTCTGGAGTCACCCAACCCATCCAACAGCAAAATGATGACATGTCATACTGTTATCTATTTTATTATCTAATTAATATTAATGTCCATTTTATTTAAAAATAAAGTAATTTCCTATTGCTTTTTCCTGAGCTGCCTACTTGGAACGGATGGTGATCGAAAGTCAAGTGTAATCTTGATTGGAAAAAGCTTGCATCCCTTCACCCTAATGGACCTTTTGTTAGCATTTTATTAATGCTGTGCAGATTTGACAGTGCTTCACAGGCAATCCATACATCCCTGGTATTCATTCTGGTTTCACTACAATCTAATTATCCTCCCCCCCCCCCCCCCGAACAAGAGCTAGGTCATTGATTCTGTTGAATTTGGCATCTGTTGTGTTTGTAAACGTTCTGAAAAGCTGGTATGAGGCTCCAAACTCTGACTAAGACTTATTTGCTTTGGTAGGAATACATTTGCTTTTATCTACATAGAAAGAGTAATAGTTAAGAGATTCAATGGATAAAGCACAGCGTTTTAGAACCAAGTCCATCTCCCACAATAGCATCTTCTTCACTTCATTATTTAATTGTGCAGTGCTTACATTTTCATCATTTTCACCATATGGATCTTCACCATTGTGTTCCAGCCCCCTTTTCTTCTCTTCGGGTAGATCTCCTTGGGCCTATTAAAAATATACATATTTAAGAACAAAGTGATTATTGAAGATAAAGTACCCATTTGGGCTACACTGTACTTATTGGGTAAGGAACATTTATCTTGGCTGCTGTATGTATTTATTTTGTGGATGTTTTTACTGATTTATTGGTTTTAAATGTTTTATAATTGTAAGTCACTTGGTTGAATTGGGAAGTTATAGAGAATGAATGAATGAATGAATGAATGAATGAATGAATGAATGAAAAAAAGAACAAGTGTTCTTTTTAATATCTTGGAATAAAGTTCTAAGAATTCCAATCATAAAATTTTTATCAGTTCCTCGCCTGATGACATGGGTGGATAGGATCACTCCAATAGGATTATGAAATACAGGTAGTCCTCGATTTACAACAGTTCATTTAGTGACCATTCAAAGTTACAACGGCACTGAAAAAGTGACTTATGACCATTTTTCACACTTATGACCGTTGAAGCATCCCCATGGTCAGGTGATTTACATTCGGAGGCAACTGACTCACATTTATGACATCTGCAGTGTCCCAGAGTTATGTGTTCTCCTTTTTGTGACCTCCTGACAAGCAAAGTCAATGGAGAAACCAGATTTCACTTAACTACCATGTTACTAATTTAACAACTGCAGTGAATCACTTAACAAATGTGGCAAGACAAATTGTAAAATGGGGCAAAACTCACTTAACAAATTTCTCACTTAGCAACATAAATTTTGGACTCAATTGAGGTCGTAAGTTGAGGACTACCTGTACATGAAGTACTTCTATGGTCTATGTACTGTTTTAGCTTGTCCTTCCTTGCAGAAACTACTTGTGGGCTATACATTACATTGTTGGACTTGTACATCTGCCACTTCAAAAATACGGGCTTATGGTTCCACTCAAATATATTATTGCAGCTTTTTTCTGTAATGCATTTCATCATTCAGCTTGCCCTTCCTCCAAGAGGAACAGGACACATAAATTCAACCCACTGCCGTATATTATCCTCACCATAAACCTGTAGGGTTCATAATTTCAAGTTATTTACCTCTTCTTCTCCCTCTTCCTGGTACTGCTCATCCACATTGTCTTCCTGTTGATCCGGATTGCCCACCACCTGCAGATAAATCAAACAGATTCTGTTGCCCTTATTCCTGCAGCTCCAGAACTCAGAAAATAAGTATTAACTTAAAAAAAAAAAAATAAAGGACGGGCAAAACTATAGACAGGCTGGGCTATTCCAAAGACTTAAATCTGAAAGCTCACATATCACTAAGAACTGTACAGGCATAAGTTTGGTCAGTCTATTAACTGTGGTTGAAAGATCTGGAATAGTTTGATACACAGGGCCATAAAATCAAACTGATACATGGGGCTTTGTCTGCCAAAACTGAGTCTGTTGCGGTACAAATGAGCACATAATTCACTGAGTTCTTTTGCCTACTCTTTGAAATATTTCTCAGCTAAAAATACAAGGTGCATTAAAATTTGCACAAAATTTTAATTTTAGATTCACATTAAGATCATATTTTGGCAAAGATGTGTACAAAAATAAATGTAGGTTTTTGTGCTATTCATCCAGAATAAAACCAGTTTTTTAAAAATGCAGAACAATCCAGAATTTTGATGGAATGAATCACTCAAGACGTATGATACATCAATTGGATTATCCACTAATTGCTTCAATATATTCTGAGATGGAGATGAAAGCAAATACATTATTAATCAACACTAAACAAACTGGATGTTCTCTTCCCATCGTTTTAAACAAATTATTTACTTTTATAAGGTTGATAATGCTGCTACAATCAACAACTGAGTGATTACGTAGTCCATTAATAAAAATTATAAAAAATAGCACACCCATAATAATATTCATGAAACAACACTAGTTACTAATCAAACTGATAAACAAAGAAAAAGAAATCTGAGAACTGGGAATATCAGTTAGCCAACAAACATTCACCTAAAGAAAGAATTCATTTCATCCTTCAGAATTGAAAGGATTAAACAGCCAGATCTCAATGGTTTTATAAAAACTCAAGAATGGTGGGAATATGATGTTCTCTGCAGAGATATTATTCCAGAAAAGTGGGGCCAGAGAGAAAGGGCAGGATCCCAGCATATATAGGACCCAGAGCAGGGACCCAGAGGGAGTCCTTCCTCTGAGATCTCTTCAAGGTGACCAAGGCCACTGGGAGAAGTCATTCCAGATGATATCCAAGGCCAAAGCTATGAAAAGATTTACATGAACCATGAACACATTTAGTTGTACCTGGAAACCCAAAAGGTAACCCGAGCAGCTCTCACAGAAGAGGTAATGAATAAATAAATTGCCCCATATAATCTGAAGTCTATGTTCTGGACTAGCTTATGGGCTCAGAGTGGTGTTCAAAGACAGTCCCATGTAAAATGAGTCCAAATGGCAGGTCCTTGGTGCTCTCTGAGCTTGGATGTTTTCTTGCAGATGCTTCATTAGCTAAATTAGATAACATCATCAGTGTAAACAAGACCCCACATTTCAATCCTGAGCTACAAGTATTCTCCTTTATTAATAGTCTAAGTGAAAATTGGTCAAGGCATGAGGGACTATGAGTAACCCAAACTTCCCTCTCCAAAAAAAAAAAAAATGAAGGAAAGCTTGCAACTGAAGCACAAGATGAAACTGTGGAGAAGCCTTCCAAATCACAACTGTGACCAAAATGTGTTGAAACTTTTGTATTTTTTTTCTTTTTAAAACATAATCTGGAAGCAACTAGATTGCCCAGAGTCCCTAGGGTCAGGTGATACATGCATTTAACTATAGTAATTATTATTATTTAGAAATGTACTGAAAGTCACCATTGAATATGGATAGTATAAACACAATTTATCTGGCCAATGCTTAAGAATATGGAACACAGCAATTAAAATTATATTAATATTATATTAATGCTCGAGTAAATGATATTTTTGTAAACACAAATAATTTCCACTTCTAAATTCTTTCAGTGATGTGAAAGGTGGATACAGTGTTAGAAACAAAATTACTTAATTCAATATTTATTCTTAAATGTTTCTCTCTTTCTCTTGATCTCTATCATTATAATGAATTTATCCAGAGGACAAGAATAAATTAATGTTTATTGTCTAGACCTTATAATGCTATTTGTATGTATTAGGAGAATCAATGTTGAGCAGGAGAAAGAGGATCAATACTCTTCTTAATATTTTTTTAAAAAACATTGAAAACCCAGATGTTGGATTAAGCATTTCTTCTTTCAAAAATAGTGTTTCCTTGTAACAAACACATTTTAAGCTATCATCAATATCTACTAATGCTTTTACACAGTGTTTGTATCGTATTTGAACAATAACAAATATTCCAAAAGTAGTTTTGATTATCTAGACCAGGAATAAGCCAGTCCTCTATGGTTCAAGGGCCACAGAATGGCATATAGAGCTCGGAGGAATGTTTGAAGGGAGAAAATAATACTTTAATGCTTTAACCCCCTGAAGGCTTAAAAAACAATTCTCCTAATAGCATTTCTCTCCAACTGCCCAAAGACAGAAAAAGGATGATTTGCCAGAGGGCTCTGAGACTGCAGACCCAAAGGGTAGCACTTTGGTAAAACAAAGCTTAGAAATATTTACAACACCTTTCTGTTTCTTCATAGGATGTAAAATAGAAGCCATGACAGAAAGAGGGACATATTTGAACCACCTCTCCTAAAAAAACAGGATTGAGTGACTTACGTAACAGAATAGCAGAGTTTGAAGGGACCCTGGAGGTTTTGTAGTCCAACCTCCTGCTCAAGGAGACAACCCTACACCATTTCAGACAAATGGTTGCCCAATCTCTTCTTAAAAACCTCCACGTTGGAGCACCCACAACTTCTGGGGGCAAGTCATTCCATTGACTATTTGTAAGGAAATTTCTCCTTAATTCTAAGTTGATTTTCTTCTTGATTAGTTTCCATCCATCTTGTTCTATCTTCAAGATGCTTTGGAGAATATGCCAAGCTGAGATTTGAGATATGACATCACCATGAATGTGGTCAATTTGCAAAAGGAAGCTGTGTTTAAAGGTGACAAGAGTTTCAACCCCTATTCTTGGGGGAAAAGAAAGAAGATTCGGACTATTTCATAACACAGGAACTATTCTATAAATGGTTAAATAATAGATATTGAGGTTAGAGGAATGGAATCAGGTGAAATATGGTTTATAGGAGAAAGAAAAACAGATGAGTAAATATTTTTGACGGTTATATAATCGATACTATAATGGAAGATATGTTATAATATGATTGATGTTATTGCATATTTGTTTATATATTACTACGTATTTGTTTATGTATATATATATATGATCATAATGACAATGACAATGTTTGTATGTTAATACCTTGGACACCTAGAGAGCACATCGTTCAACATAGAAATGAAATGTATGATATAAAACAATAAAAATATTTTTTTAAAAAAATGGTGTTGAGATGCCAAACAGCTCAACACCATCAGCAATTCCTATGGAAGGAAAATCTTGGTGTGTTCCAAATCTTGGGACACATCTTGGTGTGTTCCAAATATATTCCTCTATTATCATTGGCTATAAGTGGAAGGTTTCCACTGATTACTCCCAAGTTCTTAATTAAAAAAGACATGGGATCAAAGATTGTTTTATTTCAATGTTTGGTTAATGTGTTTTGGTTTTCATTGAAAAGTAAAATGTCAGAAGTCTGACATGAAAAATATATTTTCTGATGTTCAAAGCTCTATTATAAAACCTCTTTCTCCAAGGTATTCTGCTAAAACAATAAAACTAGGATGTGGAGTCCTTAGTGTTTTCTGAGCTTGGCTGTTTACTTGCAGACATTTCCTAGGTAACATCTTCAGTCGATCAAAAGCTCAGAATCCACCAAAGGACTCCACAGTTCAACCTTGAGCTACACGTATTCTCTTGTATTGTAATTTAATTGATGTGTTCACACCATATTATTAAAGCAGGTTTCTGGTGATTTATGAAATTGAGCTCTATTATATGTTGCTGCTTTTCTAAAAATAAAAACATAATTTTATTATGTCTTAGAGCTGTTTTGATTTCTATTTGTTTTTACATGGCTTTTCAGTTTGCCAAGGAAGGTGAGATAAAATATTCTAAAGAAATAACAACAAATTTCATCATACAAAGAGCAGCACATTCAAATATTAATAATATGTATATAGTTGGTTTCAAAAAGGAAGTTCACAAGTATTTTACTTAGTTGGGAACTGGGAAATGCCTGCATGCACTGGTGATGCTGTTAAAAACCATTGTATCATAGATAACTACTACAGGAACGAGGCTGCGCCTCATGCTTTCTCCCTTGGGGTGTGTGAAGGTTATAGTGAATAAACATACAGGCTATCCTTGAACAGTATGCAGAAACTTCAGCTGGTACAAAATGCAGATGCATGGATAATATTGGGAGTCCAAAGAATGGTGCATTGGTGTCAGTTTGCTTCAGGGTCCAGTTCAAGCCATTGATTATTACCTTTAAAGCCCTACATGGCACAGGGCCAGGATACCTTTGGTACTGTCTTCATCTAATTCATTGGTCACTCCCACCTAGTTAGAGTAGGTCAGTTGTGGACCGAATCAGCAAAACAATTCTGAACGGTGGGGTTCCAGGATCTGAGCTTTCTCTGCCATTGCCCCTACCCTGTGGAACCTACTCCCCCCAAGAGGTGAGATGGGCTCCATTCCCCTGGCTTTCTGAAAAGGCATGAAAAGATGGCTCTGCAACCTTGCTCAGGACTCATAGTGATGCATGCAGCCATGGAACAGGTTAGCATCCAGAAAGCCCTTTTAATTAATTTTTAACACTGTTCTGTGCCTCTTTTTAAATGTTGGTACGATTTTTATGTTTTAATGCAGAGGTCTCCAAACTTGGCAACTTTAAGACTTGTGGCCTTCCGGGAGTTGGACTCAACAAGTCTTAAAGTTGCCAAGTTTGGGGACCTCTGTTTTAATGCTTTATTTGTACATTACTCAGAGCTTCTGTTTGAAAATTTGATAGATTTGATAAATGAAAATAAGCAACAACAAACTCCACTAATATATCTGCCTCAACAGTGAAATTGAAGCCCCCTCTTTTTATGTACGATGCACATATAAATGGCTATACATATTTATCTTTAGCTGTAGCTTTAATTACATCATCAAAGCACCATTTTTCATTAAAGCAGTTTGTTTTTTGTTCACAATTGGGCCATAGAAAGAGGGTTTGCACATTGTGCTAAGCCATTTGTTTTTTGAATATACCACAATTTGACTAGAGTCATACAATCTAAGCCATTAAACAAACCCGAACAGTTGAGTTTAGACAAACTGTTAACCAAACCAAACAAAATTCAAAAGGCCTTTGTGTGATGTGTGAACCAAGCTTAATTTTCATTTTAGGTACAGAAAATATATTCTACTGTATTACATAAAATCAGAAGCAGAAGCTTGCATAGGAACTGTTGAGAAATTGTTTTATATAGATTAAAGTAAACTAAGTTTTATTTACATCAAACTTCTCCACATATTGTTGATCATGCCAACTGAGAATTCTGGAAACTTAATTCAATATATCTTGCCGATACTACATTAGGAAAGACTGTCTTACATGTTTTTGTGTACTTGTTAGTTGGCAGATTGATGCATGAACAGAATCACCTGAGAACATTGCTTTCATTCATGTAATTCACTGCTGGGTACTGTATTGATATTCATGTCTAAAACAAGGAATCAGATTTCCCCATTTCTCCCTTTGTTTTGTGATTCTAATACCTGGCACAATTTGGCCACAGAATGCTGATGCTTTGCAATTCTTCCCCTTTGGATTTCTGAAGTTCTCATAAATCATTTGTAGGCACAGCTTTCTTCCAATTTCTATTCTCCTTTATTGATTCTTCCCACACACCCCATCCTTCCCCCCTCTCTTTGTTCAAGCTAAAGATGCTCATACATGCTCATGTCCACAAAGCATAGTTCATATAGGACATCTGATGCAGTGATGCATACCATTGCATCTGGATTCCTTCAGTGTCCTGTACTTCATCAAAGATGCACAAGGGTGTTTGTTAACATTGAGTGGAGAAGAAGAGGGAGAGATGTCACAGAACAGAAGATAGATGGCTCCTGAGATTGATTTTACAAATTTTCCATATTCACCCAAAGGAAATATGAGAGGTAGACAGGACAAAACAAACCCATAAAATGCTATCACAATAGGAAATTTAAATTTCTCTAGTAGCCGTCCAGAATGACTAGCAGATGAGCCTTAAGATGATATAATGCATGCACTGCACTTTATGTTTGCAAGGGTTTTTTCACCCATGCATGGAAACACTTGAAGTTACAATCATTCCATGAACAGAGCCATTGGGTTTCACTGACTCACCACCAAATGGTCTTCCATTTCAGAATTTGCTTGTTTCTGGTTATTTGGTTTTAGCTCCTTATTCTCTTCAGGGAGATTCTCTTCCCTCTCTTGCTCTGCTTCTTCAAATTCATCTTCTCCCTGGTTGTTGGGATCATCAGCTGGGTTGATATCATCCATGACTGTCTTCTGTATTTACAAGATGAAATGAAAAAAAAAAATCAATATATATTTCATTACAATACCACCACCGTCACTTAGGTTTAACATATATTATGAACTAACTAACACTTTCTGGCTATACCCTAGCAATAGAGAAATACAGTCTATATTTATATCCTTTCAACATTAAGACCTGTAGAAATTTCTGTTCTGATTTTTCTTTCATTAGAAGAAAAATGCAACATGGCAGCGGCATAAATGTACAGATGAAAGCAGTATAAAATATGTTGATAAATTATTTTTTTAAAAAAAACAAGGAAAGCAAGTAGAACAAAAAGTAAATTCAGGTACTAATTCCTTTTTAGAAATATGGTACATTATCCATCTTATTCTTTGGATAATAAGAGTGCTGTAAACATTTAAAAACGGATGTCTTCCAAATATTTTGGATAAAATTGCTGTTTAGAGATAGTGATTAATATAGTCCACATTCTCTTCAGGAATCTTGTGCATGACCACAAGCAAGGGTTAGGATGATGGATAGACTCTACAGTATGGCAGCCACAAACCTCTCACAGTTGCTATGTTGTGGTATGCATATACAGTAGCTAAAAAATACCATTGTTGGAAAGCAGATTAATACTAAAATAATGATAGGGTTGACACATTGGATTAAACCATGTATTTAATGTTTGCTTTTGCTTTTGCAGAATGTAAGAACCTAGCCATTATGATTCTAAACTATGGTTTCTAGTTTACAGACATGATGTTTGAAAGACTATCCCAAAATCACTCAATGGGCTTTATGACCAAACATAAGTTAATTCATTCATCATGGAAAACCAGAAAAATGCTTTGTTTGATATAGGCTTAGTTTGCTGTTTGAACTCAGTAATTATGTCATGTAAATAAAATGGTGGCTTTCCTTGATGTGTAAATCTCATCCATAGACTTGAAGGTCAAGTCCACTAGATGCATGATTTATTTTGCCATTAGAGCAATTCATTCTGCCAGTTTGGTTCTGTCTTCTCATCTTCCAAATTGGTCTTCATGAGTACAACTATAACAACAGAAGATGGGTAAGTCCATAATGCATTAAAGTCATCTGGATTCATCTCTTCTCAATACAGAATTTAATCCTGTAAATTAATATGGTGTAAGCCTGGTTTTGGAAGTTATTACAGCTCATGAAGTATAAACATTGAAAGTCAGGATGAAATCTCATCTTAACAGAACAACAGAATTAAAGGAACCTTGCAGGTCTTCTAGTCCAACCCCTGCTCAAGCAGGAAACCCTATACCATTTCAGACAAATAGCTGTCCAATCTCTTATTAAGGATATAATTCATTTGTAAAAATGAATTAAGCAAAGGTAAATTCATTTATACTATAAATTCACTCGCGAAAAACAACACCAACCATAAAAACCTCTGATCTCGTCCTGACCTAACCTTACAACAATGTGCCGCTCCCGTATACTATGCACAGAACTCAAAAATCGTCTAGACAATGGAGAGAAGGACCTGTACATTGATTACCGTGCAGACTGTATCAAAAGAAAGTCACACAACCCACAACTCAGCATCCAACCCTACTTCAATCAATCCACCATCACCCAAGACTAGGCACGCATGCCCCCAACTACCTCAATTCAAACTACAACTGGCCTTAAATGCAAGCTATTCAATGCAAGAAGCCTTATAAATAAAATACCTGAATTTCTCCTCTTACTAAATACAGCTAAATTCGACATCATATTTGTCTGTGAAACATGGCTCGACGCATCTCTCCCTGACTCCATTACCTCAGTAAGTGACTATCACGTTTACTGATCAGATTGTGAAATCCATAGATGAGGTGGTGTTGCTATCTTCTATAAAAAGTCCTTACATCTAAAAATCATCCAAGTTCCCCAAGAGCTTGCTCTTCCTGAGACCATTATCTGTGAACTGACCTTAAATATCACATTTCGGTTCTTACTATGTTACAGAGCCCGATTATGACACTGAACATGTAAACAAACTAAATACACTACTAACATGGGCAGCATCCTGCCCACACACTTTTATCTTTCTTGGTGACTTCAATCTACTTCATATTAACTGGACCCTAAACGAATGTACAACTGAACCCATACATGCAACCTTCTACAATGCTGTAACAAATCTGGGACTAGAGCAACTAGTAACCAACAACACTAGACTTAACAACTGCCTCGATCTCATCTTCTGCAACAGTTTGAATTCAATTTACGGAATACAAATTAAAGAACCCTTTTCCAACAGTGACCACAACATGATTGACTTTTGTCTCAACATACGTCCACACAAAAATCATCACAACAACAAAATCCCCAATTATAACTTCAAAAAAGGCAACTATGATCTTATAATCAACGATCTCTCTTCCCTTGATTGGCAATTTCTATTCACTGGATGCAATACTGTTGAAGACCATTACAACATATTCTTACTAGAAATCAAAAGAACCATCAAACTATATTTACCAATAACAACTCCCCAAACCAGGAGAAACAGATTACCCATAACAATAAGGAAGCTTCAATCCAAAAAGAGAGCACTTTGGTGAAAAAACGAATCTGGTCACGTTGCCAACTTCAAAAGCCATTACAAAAATCTATGCCACCAGATAAAAACTGAATGCACTAATTATCACATTAAACAAGAGGAAAACCTTCTATGCACAAATTCCACCCGTGCTTTCTACAATTTTGTAAAGAACAAACTAAAAGATTCAAGGTTCATCCCACCCCTGAAAGGACCTAATGGCAAACACTGCAACGATGCCACCATCAAAGCAAACCTCTTTAACACGTTCTTTGGCTCAGTATTTGTAAACAGCAATGGATCAAGCTCAGTACTTCCTAGTCAAACCACAGACAACTACAATGATCTAATACATATCGATTTTACAGAAGACAATGTTGAAAAAGCACTGTGCAATCTAAAACTATCTCTATCTATTGGAATGGACAGAATATGTGCCTACTTCTTAAAAAAGCTATCCACTGCCATAGCTGAACCTCTAAGCATAATCTTTGAAAAATCTTTCAGGACCAGCTCCTTGCCAAAACTATGGTCACAAGCCACGGCCATCCCCATCTTCAAAAAGGGAGACCCTAGCCTAGTTGAAAATTACAGACCAATGTCCTTATGCTGCATCACCTGTAAAGTCATGGAATCAATTATTAACCAATCCATTATCCTCCACTTAGAGACAAACAACCTACTCTACAATAAACAATTTAGTTTCAGAAAAAAAACTATCCTGTAATCTGCAACTCTTACACTGCAAAAACATATGGACTACACAACTCGATCATGGCAAAGCAATAGTCGCAATCTACATAGACTTCCGTAAAGCCTTTGATTCAGTGGTACACGACAAACTACTACTAAAACTAAAATCTTATGGTATTTCTGGACACCTACATAACTGGATAGAAGTATTCCTGTCAAACAGACAACAAATGGTCAAAATTGGGAGCGTCCTATCAAATTCTGTACCTGTCAACAGTGGTGTCCCCCAAAGCAATGTTTTAGGACCAACTCACTTCATACTTTACATAAATGACCTCTGTGATCATATTAAGAGCAACTGCGTTCTCTTCGCTGTGACGTAAAGCTATTCAACACCACAGACAATACTGCTACCCTCCAAAAAGACCTTGACTATGTATCAGAATGGTCAATCAAATGGCAACTTCAAATCTCAACAAATTGCTCTGTCTTACATATTGGCAAAAAAAATCAGAAAATAAAATACAAGCTAAATAATCAAGACCTTGTTGAGGATCCAAACTTTGTCAAGGACCTTGGAGTACTCATCTCTAATGATCTTAGTGCTAGAGCCCATTGTAACTACATAGCCAAAAAGGCATTAAGAGTTGTTAGTCTAATCCTATGTAGCTTTTTCTCTGGTAATATCATACTACTAACTAGAGCATACAAAACTTTTGCTAGATCTATAGTTGAATACAGCTCATCAGTCTGGAACCCATATCATGTATCTGATACTAACACAATTGAAAAAGTCCAGAAATATTTCACAAAAAGAGTTCTCTGCTCCTCTACTCATTGCAGAATACCTTATGCCACCAGACTTGAAACTCTAGATCTAGAAAATCTAGAACGATGCTGCCTCCGGTCTAATCTAAATCTAAATGTAGTATATAAATTCATACATTGGAATGTCCTACCTGCAAATGAATACTTCAGCTTCAATCATAACAATACAAGAGCACACAATAGATACAAACTCAAGGTTAACCAAACCAAACTTGACTGCAGAAAATACGACTTCAGCAACAGAGTGGTCAATGTTTGGAATATTCTACCTGACTCTGGGGTTTCTTCCCCAAACCCCCAAAACTTTAACCTTAGACTGTCTACTATTGACCTCATCCCCCTCCTAAGAGGCCTGTAGGAGGCATGCATAAGAGCACCAATCGTGCCTACCGTCCCTGTTGTATTGTTTCTTTTTATTTTTCTTATAAGTATCTATCTCATGTATTCAAAACTATGTTTATTCTTATACCTGTATCTTGCAAGCGATTGACAAATCAAATAAATACTAAAATACTAAAAAATATGATTGGATACCTAAGGAAAATAATTATCTATTGCCCTCAATGCCCCTGCTACTGGTTTTATACTGATATATGTTCCTGGGTGGCATTATGAAGACTCTATTATACTCTTTTTATAGTCTTCCTGGAATTGGCATTTATTTAGAAAAATGTGATGTACATCTTAACTGAAATCAAAAGGCACTGATGGTACTCACTTGGTATCATTTAAACATAAGCACTATTATTCTACTCTCATACACAGCTCTTCTTTACTTTCTCCCAAAAATGGTCTCTGGAGAAAAGAGTCTAAAGAAACTGTTTTCTTTTCATAATCCATCTAAAGAGTCTTCACCTTTAGACACACTTTTCTTTTTTGTTTTCCTAACAAGACCATCAAGCTAAGCAGTGGGATGTTGTATGGATAACTGGCAATCGTTGCTCCAATTTTTGTTTTTCCCAAAGTTCTTAAAATTATCATGACTTCAGGCCTGACCAGATATATGTTTATCTCTTTCTGGAAAAGAATTAACATATGTCTACTGATAAAGGAGAATATTTATAGCTCAGGGTTGAAATAAGGGTCCTTGGTGCTCTTTGAGCTTGGTTGTTTTGTTTTTCCACAACATATTTCTGTTATACAAAGCACCACAGAGCTATTGTGTGTGCAAACATACAAACACAAATACATATTCTCTCTTGGGATAAATAGCATTATATAAAGCACAGGAGGGTAAGAAGTACAGGTAGCTTTGATTAGTGACTGAAGTTATGGAGGACTCTTCACTTATGACCTAATTTTGAGGTCATAACGGCTGCACCCTCATTATCACATTTTGGGTGCTTGGCAATCAGCTCATCTTTATGGCTGTTGTAGCATCTCATGGTTATGTGACAGTGATTTTCAATGGTGTTTTTTTTTTGAAGTTTCCAGCATTTTCTCCCAGTTTACAGTAAAAATGCAAATTGGGTAAAATTGACTCAGTTAAAGACCATGGTGTTTGTTTAATGACTGCGGCAAAAATTTAGATAAAATTGGGTCCAGTCACATGGTGATATGCTGAACAATTGTAATAATTTATGGTTTGAATTATGGTCCTAAGTCAAGGACTACCAGTAATGACAAAAGGAATATACTTGTTTCCTCATACATCTTCTCTATATGATCATGGCAGCTCCACGTTTTTCTACTGGTCATTCACTTTTGTACCCAGTTCACACTCATTCATCACCCATTCATTCTTTTTTTTTTTTAAACAAATTTTATTCAATTTTTCACATAAAAACAAAAAGCTGTTTTTAGTGGACAACATATTTCCGGGTCATCATTTTACATACAAATATGACAATAATTATGCATTCATATATGCACACTTAATTCTATTATTACCTTTTCCATTCCAAACTTTCAGAAAGGAGAGAAACAAGCAAATTAATCCTAGTCTCTTACATTAATCTCAATCAAAACATCTTTTCGTTTCATTTCAATTATTTCAAATATAATCCTTTAATATTTATTTTTAAAATAGAAATAACAATATATGTTTGCCTAATAATAATAAAAAAGTTACCAATGTCTCTCCTTTCTTTTAATAGTCTGTATTATTTTATTAATTTAAGTAGTTCTTTAATCTGTCATATTTTCTTTCCATCACACATTCTTTCTATAGATTCTAGGTTAATACAAGTTTTAACACAAAAGAAAAAGAAACAAGTATAGGTTTCCCCCCTTTACTGCTTTGAGTGTGACACCTCAGTAGTTAAAATATACCTTTATTCCCTCATTTTAATTCCCAATAAACCATTATTTTTAAGTAGTTACAATAATAATCATTGCATCTTTTCATTTGGATTCTGCAACATATTTTCCCCCTTTAATTTTATTTCTAATTTCAAAAAAGTAAAAGGGAAAAAATGACTATTCAATTTCTAATCACTGATATTGACCTCATTTTTAAACATCTTCACATTCATTTTAATTATTAGAATTTCTTTAATAAACCTTAACTTTTAAGAATAAAAATAAAAATGTATATTCATCTAATAATAGTTATCAGTATCTATCCCTCCTTTAATAATCTATATTACCCTATTTTCTAAGTTTTTTAAAAATTGCAAATATATTCTTGTTGCCCCTTGTCACCCTGCAGAATCCGCTTTTTAATTCATCAACCATTATCTCTAAAAAACCTATTTCTTTTCATCATTTTACTATTTCCATATTTCTTTATTTAATGCACCTGTTTCTTACTGCCTCTCCTCCCCCTCTTTTTTCCTATATCTTTTCTCATTCTGGTTTATATCCCGCTCTTTCTTGATATCTTCCTTTCCCCTTTTCTGCTGGATCTTTCTACCTCTCCTGATTTCACAGATATTCCCCTTTTTGATTACCTTCTTAAATCTCAACTTTTTAGCCTTCCTTCTTTCCCCTCATCTTTGTAGTGTTCTTTGTGTTAATTGTCTATTTAACATGGCTTCTCCTTGAAGCAACTCCTCCTCCTCTGAAGTTCTTTCTTCTTGTTCTTCAATCGCCATTTCCATTTCTTCTAACGCAGAGCAAAGTGATCCGCCTCTTTCCTGTAGTAATTCTCTCATATTTTTAAGTTCCATTTTTAATTCCCGAAGAGATATCATCATTACACAATCTTATTAAAATATAATATTAAAATATAATATTATAATCATTGAAGTCCACAAAGAACACTTTTACTTTCTTTCTTTCTTCCAGTTTTTTAAAGTTCTCAATTGTTCCAGGCCAGGGTCTATACCAAAAACATAAATCAATCCCACAATCAGTCTTTCCTTGCTTCTTTCTTTATTCTGGTTCAGCTTTCACTTTCTAAGGTTCTTACTCTGTTTCAATATTTCTTTAATATTATATCAACAGAAGTTCATACAGAAACAGGATGCTTTCCCTTTTGTTTGGGTTCACACTTTTGTCAGAAGATGGCACTCTCCATTATACAAAGTCTTCACCTTTTCCCCCTATTTTTTTATTTAGGGTTTTTCAAACCTCAATATTCCAACACAATCCAGTCTCCAAATTGTAAATTTTTTTATTATTATTTTTTGACAATCTTAAGTCCAGCTTTATTTTATGCCTGTTTATTGCCAAAATATTTTAGTCCAATTTTATTAAATCTTTAGTTCCGGCTTCTTCCTTTCCTGGTTCGAAGCCCTGCTTAGCTGTCAAAATTATTTTCTTATTTTTTTCCCTGTCCCATTTTATTTTCACTACTCACTTTTCTTTTCTTAAAAGTTCAATGTTACCTTAATCCCGGGGTACTTTTTGTTTAGTTGTTTCGCCCAACTGTCCTGGTTCAGATGTTATCCACCTCTTCCTTCCCTCCTGCATAAATCTTAGTCCAGCTGAGTCCTCCTCTCGGGGGTGGCCATTTTGGACCACTGCTTCAGTCGTCTTCGGGGGGAAAAGGACCAAGCCCAGGAGGGGAGATGCGGCTACCCACAACCTGGCTTGCAGCTTCCCCTTACTCCACCGCCCCTCCAAGGCAGCTTCAGCCCTTAATCGCAATGATTGGGGCTCTCCAACGAAAGAGCACGGACCATAACCACGGACAGTCGTGATCTACAGTCCGTCAGCAAGGAGGGCTCAACCCGGAAGTCCATCACCCATTCATTCTTGATTTATTCCTTATTGCTTTAGCACGCACACTTCTTAAATATTCTATTCCAACTACATTCAGGCGCAGTGGCCAGAATGCAGAATTGCAAGCAAACTCTGACTACAGCCTGGAGTTTGATCTTGACAGAGCTCAAGGTTGACTTAGCCTTTCATCCTTCTGAGATCAGTAAAATGAGGACACTGCTTGTTGGAGGCAATATTGTATACCTCCCAGAAAGGGCTGTAAAGCACTATGAGGCAGTATGTAGGTCTAAGTGCTATTTCTATTTAACTTAGTTTTGTTATTTCAGTTTATCAACTGTTTTGGGGTGCAGAATGGGGATAGATAGATAGATAGATAGATAGATAGAAAGAAATAGACAGACAGACAGGATGGATGATAGATTGAATGAATGAACACATTAGCTAGAAAAGAATATGTTTCTCTTAAAAAGTTGCTGCCACTTACTGGCTCTTCATTTTGCTCGTTCTCTGACTGGTGCTCCAGTTCTGGATCCTGTTGCTCATTTGCATTATTCTGATCATCATCATCATCTACTCTTCTTGGATGCTGGTTATGTCTCTCATAATCTAATTGAAAAAAACATTCATCTCATTCCTTCTTCCCACAGGCAGGAAACATCATCACAAGCTTAATTCCACAGTTGGAAGCACCATAAAAACAGCATCTCAGCTCTGGATTCAGCGTGGAAATCGTAACACCACAAAATGACACATTCTATTCATAAGCCAAGTGTCTTTTGCCCATATTGGATATGATCAACCAATAAAAATGGTTATGTTAATGTTTATATTTTAAAATTATATTCCATAATTTCTGTTTCAAGGTTTTTTTTTCTTCAAGCCAGGCCTTTTCAGATGGAATTCAGCTTAATGGTGATTATATATGTCTAAAATGTTTTGGTTTTTAACAGTTAAGCTCTATTGTGTACTATTATTACCGGTCTTAAGTGGAATATAAATGATATGAAAAAAAAATGGAGAAATAAGACAAACTGTTGACAGGGAAGAGAATGATTACTTACTTTCATCTTCTTCGTGTACAACTCCTTCTCCTCCTTGCACGATATCCTGATCTACATTGTCATAATGGGATTGCTGGCTGAAATGATTGGAAGATCTATTAATTGAGATTCATATGGAAGAAACCCTTATTAATATACAACATGTGGACTGATTAATGCTATGTTTCTTTTTAGCTCCAGGCTAGCTTAATATTACCCAGAAGGAGGACAAATGAATAAAAAAGAAATAGAGTTAAATTCTTGGTTTATTTAGATCAATATATTGTCTTCTAAGACAAAATTCCTTCCCAACCCTACTTGGAGAGTCCAACAATTGAACTTGAGATGTTTAATTTCACCAATTCCTGTTCTGTTAGGAAAATATGATCTCTCCCTCTGAACTAAAACCCATCCTGTAGCTAGAGAAACATAGGAATATGCCTTACTATGAATTAAGAGCACCAGTCCATCCAGCTCACCAATTGCTGGACTTTCAAAGGACAGTTATGATGATAAATTTTCCCACTACTTCCAATATTTCTATACAACTTGCCAAGTATTAAATTGTTCCAAAGAAGACTAAGACGGATTGGGGAGGATCCACAATTCATGGTCAACAGCAGAAAAACGGCAGAATCTTTCTTAGCATCTCTTTATGCCTAAGAACATGCATGCTGCCTTGGTGTCTGCCATTTGGCTTTACATAAAATAACTTTCCCTCCTTAAAACTTAACCAAATTGAAGAAACAAATGTATGCAAATAAATGGGAAGCTTCAGCCTCTTGGACTATAATTGTTTCCAAGATTGTGTAGGCCCAATGGTGGGTGACTACAGCCTAGTGCTTTATGTAGAAGCATTTTCCACATTTACCTTAAATAATAGAAAAGCAAGTCAAGTATTGGGGGTAGTGGTGAGCAGAGGCTGAGGGGAAACAATTTTGTGGTTTTGCTTTCTAGTAAGCAAATGTTTTCTTATCCCCATCTATACTGTATCTAGGAAAGCCTTCCAAGTGGCAATTATTTTGTGAGAACAACCCCAAACATGTTCTCAAGACCCCAAATATGACTATTGTATCAAAAAGATTCCACCTCTGGGTTACACAATGCTAATAACAGGGCTGACTTCTTCACGGTAAAACAATCAGCACAAAAACCAGACAGTAATAAATCTCAGTGTACTGTATATACAAAGATACATGAATTCTGTGTCTCTTGTCTGCCTGTCCTTATCTGCACATAGTTTACACAAACAATAGTGAAACTCAACCAATGCCATATGAATCAGTTAAAGAATTCCTACAGGATACATAGGCATTCTTTTCCTGACTGACCATTTGAGACTGACAGTCCCAATACTGAAAACTTTAGAAGTCACTTTTTGAGGGCAGCCATTACAAATGCCATCTTGTAAACAGTTACTTCTCAGATAGGCAATTAATTAGAGAATTGCCTGTGTTCTTCTCAGGCCTTGTTTATGTACCTATTATTTACCACCCTGAAATAGAAAATATTCAAAAAAGAAAAGAGGGGAGGCAGCATTTCTAAGAGTTTTGCCGTTCTAGAATTTTCTGACAAATTAAACTTTCTTCCTTTCTCAGGGGAGGGTGGGGCAGAGACTATTGGCCCTTTGTTACAAAGACAACCTGAGTTGTTGCTTAAATTGTTCTTCGTCCTGCTCAGCCTGTCTCTGCAGCATCAGCTCTCTCTCTTGAAGCTGCTGCTGCCGGTGCAACTGCTCCTGAAGCCTCTCGTGATGCAGAGCCTCCTGATGGTCTCTTAGGCGGCTGGCTTCTTCTTCTCTCTGGGCAGCCAGCTTCTGTTGCTCCAGCTGCTGCTCATAAGGCGACTTGTACTTTGTTACAATCTTTGCGGTGGGTGGCTCCTGGCAGAACACACATACAAGATCGCTCAAGTAAGGTAACATTTTTGTTTTGTGTGCAGAAGACCCCAAGTTTGGCATCCCAGAAGACATAGAAAAACATCTGCGTGAGACTTCAAACAAGAGCTGCCAACTCGTAGCCTCATTTCCAAAGCCCCCTTTTCCAGCTTTTGGTAAGAAAAAAAAGCTTCATGCTCAAGAAAAGAGACGGGGAAAGAGACCTAATTAGTGCCATATTAAATACCAGAAAATCTACATTGTCTAATTCACATTTAGCTATGGCTCCACTACAAATTACTTAAACTTCACCCCTTCCTCATTCCCAGGGCTAGGTTTACATTTATCATAGCCACCCACCACTTATTTTTCTCAAGACAAGGTACTTCATGATATAAAACAAGCTCTCATTCTTGAGAGCCAGAGAACATAGTATTAAGTTAAATGAGACAACTGTTTGAAGTGGGTGTAGCATAGACTTTGAATGGAAAGTTTGAATAGATCCTTTGGCAGTAGTAATCAAAAATGACTAGGGAGATGTCCATTTAAAATGTTTATGAGATAGGTTAAATGTCTAAGTTTCTATCATTTTATTCTTGCTTAGAATGAATACTAAGGAACAATATAGACAGCATCAATGTTGGCATCAGGATAATAGTTTCAGAAGCCTGAAACATCAGGAGGGCTTGGCACACTGTATAAGCTTCAATTTGAAAATTAGTTGAAACAAACGAAAAAGTATATTTTGGTGCCCCAAGATATGACCTAGAAAGTAGAAGCATTTCTTGACACTTCTATTTATAGTTCTGTACAAAATGTGACCTGCATAAACTGTACCTCTGGGATTCTGGCTGCTGGATGCATATCATATTTAAAGTGAAAGGATTTGCAAAAATATTAAATATATTACACCAAGGTGGAGGAAAGAGCATTCTGGATTCACAAAGATAAATGTGCAAGTAGAAACATCTGCCTTTCAGACTAATCAGATTCTGTTAATGTATCCTTATATTAAAGTAGAATTAATTGAACTGGGCATGGTTTTTTTTTTCTGAATTAGGGCAAGCATTAATCTTGCCAGTCTGAAAATACATTTCAACCCAACAAACATGAAGAGTCCTTTCTGAGATATTTGCCATACTCACATTCCTGCTGCAGGCTAAGCTACCTCTTATCTGAATGTTCCCTGGCTGCAGTTCCTCACCTGTCTCCCAAGGTCATTTTCTCATCCATTAGAAATGCAAAAAAGCCCAAGTTAGTCTACAATCCAACAACTTTTTCTCCCCCATTAATTACAAATTAATTCAACCGTTGCCAATGGCAGGAGGGACCCAGAGGTTTCTGCCAAGTAATGATAACCTAAAATTCTCAACAAGTGCATCTTAATATATCAAAGGTGGCCAATTTATTCTAATTAAACACGGTGGGATTGACTTCCAAATAAACCTGCAAATGGTTCTCAGAAAGACCTAACCTGATTTAGAGCTTTTGGCAATCTCAAAATTGCTAAGCAGAATCAGACATGGTTAGTACTCAGATGGGAAAGCATCAGAAGTCTTAAGGTTGTGGTCTAGATTGGAAAGTTAAAAAAAGATGGCAAACCACTTTCCATTATTGCTACAGAAACAATAATGAAGGTGTTCAGGAATAATATGAAGATGTCCACCAAGAGTCAAACTTAACTTGAGGAAGACTGCTTTCTAAACATGCAAATATTCCTATGGGAAAAAGGGATCCCATCCCACCTGTGAATGGTTGTGTTCTCCAACTGTGTTGGTTTCCTCGTCAGTCTGTTCTTTGTCCTTCCATTCATGGTCTTCAGGGATTTGATCAAGATCATCTGTTAAGTGTTCTGGTTGCCCAGCTTGCTCCATTTCTTCTTCTTCTAATTCTTTTTTCTGCTCTTCTTCATCTTGCTCTGCATGTTGTTCCTCATCTTCTCCTGCTTCTTGCTTTTCCTGAATATTTAATTCCCGTGGCCCATGACCTTCCATCACTTTTCTGTCAGGATGAAAAAGTTCTGCTGTCTGTTCTCTTCCTTTCCTAGGGTTTACTTTAATAGCTTCTTCTTCCCCTTGTGATTGCTCACCATTTTGCATAATCTACAATAATATAAATCATTAAATCTGAGAGGTCAGTTTCAAACAATTTGCTTCTGGACTATACATTGAATTTCAAGGGATTCACTTCCTGTCAAGTTTTCAATAGTCAGATGTGGCAATTAAAATATTGGGCTGGGATTGGGGAGACAACTCAACTATGGAAGCTCACTTAGATGACTTCAGGTCAAATATGATTGTTCTGTCCAATCTACTTTGCAAGATTGTTGTTCTTTTTTTTGTGGTTTGTGCTATTAAAGGGGAAAAATGGAAGAAGTTCTTGTATGGTACCTAGATTTCCTGGAAGAATATTAATCACATCAGCACATAAATCATGACAGATACATTGGAAAAGTTAGTACATACATACATACATACACACACACATACATACATACATTCTATAGTATATATGTTTTCTAAGTGATGCAGAGAAGGGAAAAAAAGAACAGCTTTTGAAAGTAGTTTTGGAAGTTTTGCCTGGTGAAAAATACAAAAGTCAAAGTGTTACTTTTTACTGCTAAAGCGCTAGATAGCTTAGAATTAGGTCACCTATAAACTGCTTATATCCCTATGAGACTGCACAAGTTTGTGATAGTTCACTGATAATAGGTCCCTTTCAGGTGAGAATAGTGAAGGCAGAGCTATTTTGCTGATTGTTTTTCAGTTTAGTCTCCTTAAAACAAATGTTCTATTTTTTATTTTTGTTTACAAATGCCATAAAACATTCATCTATGCTGTGAGCTTTGTTGAACTTAAAAACTCAGTCTAGAATCTTGAAATGGATCTTGGAACATGGCTCCAGAGATCCTCCAAACAGTTGCTACTGAGTTATGTTTAATATGAAAGAAATGAATAAAAGCACATTAGTTATAAATAATATTATAATAACCCTATGGGGATTAATTATAAGAACTATATTTTAATTATTTCAATTTTAATTCCACTTGTGTTTGTCTTAAGCCTAACCACATTTCTATTCTATCCTTTTGTGGCTCTTTCTCCTTTTAAGGAAGAGGTACTCACCAATGCTGAGATAATTGCTGTCCTAAAAAAGAAACTTGTTTATCTTATTTAGAAGAAATCCAGATTGTTGGCTAAACTGAAGATGTATTTTACACTATTTTTACTTTCTTTAAAAAAAATGTAACTAGGGCGAAGGATCATTTTTAAACATTTTACTGCAATTTTTGTCTATATAGTCTTGCTGTAAGAAATTTAGGCATATTTTTTTTAAAAAAAGTACTTCTGTGCCTCGGTACACATCTTACATAATTCAAAAGCTATCCCTCAATCAACTCACATTCTCAAGATGAATATCCTAAGGATCAAGAGTGGAAAAAGACAGGTAAATACAATACACAGGGGGAAACACCTGTAAGGTCCAGGGAATTATGTTGCAATGTTTTATTAATGGAAATAGCTTTATACCGAGACAAAGTGAGCACTGAAATAATTATTGGACCTATTATACACCAATTAAGTGGAATCTTTACAGAAGCCAAATTAACTTTAACCTGTATTATTCTCTAAAACTATTTGCCTAGAAATTGCTGTATCATAAGGCTAGACTTTAATTTTAATCCTTCACAACGTGGCTAGATACTGAAGAATAAATTCATATGTAAATATTTCATCAGAGATAGAAACAGATGTTTCTCACCACTTATTATGACTCACGAATAAAGGCCATATTAAGCATGATCTGGTGGCAATTTCAGCACTGAATTCCTTTTCATAGTTGGGTATCAGACTATTAAGAGCTGGGACATCAACAGATAGACATTCATGTGTGAAATTAGCCATTTAAAAAACCCCTCAATTTGCCTATGTAAATCTGTATTTTTGCTTCACAGCTAATGCCTCACATCAGTAATATTCTTGTAACCTATTTTTCTCAATCCCACAATCCCATTCCTGCTGCTTATTCTTTCTTGATTTCATTGTTTTTGTTTTATCCCAATCTTAAGAAAAACTCCCACACAGACTTACAGATTTTCATTAGGAAATAAAACTGAAACTTTTTGTACCCAAACAAGACGATATCTGGAATTTAGACTGCTTTACCTTGCTCAAATTATAATAATGTGACATTTGGAAAGAGCAAAGATCTCTATCAATGTTTTATTAAACACAAGCATTCACAGAGGGACCATATCTGCTTATGCGTGGTTGTCCATATGCTGTGGGAGTAAAAAGGACACATAGGTCTCTTTTCGGATTACTTCCAGCCTGCGCAGCCTAAGCTAAATCAATGCTATGATTCATACTTTTATATTACAGACCGCTAGCTTGCTTGTTCTTGTGTCAAGGGCTGCATTTTCTTGATGCAAGCAACCAGCCTCCCAATTAAAACATCTCCACCAGAATGGCTACAAAGGGGAGGGGGGGGGGGGGGGGGGACATGGCTAGGAGAGCAAATGCTAGGTAGAAACCTGTTCCCTTGTTATAGTTAAATAGGACAAAAGGTTGATAATGCTGAAAAATCAATGGCACTTTTTATCATTTTATGGTAGAAATCACTGAAAACCTGTCTTAAACCCCCCAACAAAGGTCTGATTTTCTAGCTCAACTAGAAAATCCCAGCCTCATCCAGGTGCAAGATGGTTTGCATCATGGCATACAAGTGACTTTGAAAGTGGGAGAGAAAGCAAAAGGAAAAATAAGACCTTAGCTGTTTGTGAGTCAGCCGGAAGGAGCATCAATTCTTCTTCTCAGGTGCAAAAGAAAAGTAAAAAGTAAAAGCTAGGGAAAGAATGGAATTCCCCCTTGCCCCACTAAAAAAAATGTTGAGGAAAAATTCTCTGTATTTGAAGAAACTCGTGTCTCAAGAGCAGAAGAAAGCATGGACACCAGGGGAAGGATGGCTGATACAGCTTCCACCATTGATGGTGACCAAAGACAGTTTGCTTTTAGGAAGTCAGGATTAGTAATTCTTTGATATAGATAACAAATAAGTTTACATTCTAATGAGAAGGCAGGCGCCTACTGCTGCTAAGGTATTCCTGAACATATCCCTTCCTAGCTGCCTTTTGGATGGATGGATGGATGGAAAGCAGGCAGGCAAAGTAAAGCACCAGCCATTTATTTATGCATATATTGATTAAATGTGTATAGCATCCAACTCCCAACAACTGTGCGAGGTTCACTAAGTAAAATACAGAAAAATAACAATTAGTCAATATGCAAATAAAAACAAAGGAACAAAATATAACATTATATTTATTTATAGATCTTTATAGATAAGATTTATAAAGTCCAAAAAGGATACCAGAGGAAAAAAAAATAAACCAAGCAGCTTCACTTTCCTCATTAACCCGCTCTACATTGCAGAAATGAGGAAAATTTCCTTATCAGGATAAAGAAACCATGTGGGTCTCCCCAGCACAGTGCTCTGTATCTCTCTGAAGCCTAAATGGTCGGCCAGTATCTGGAAGGGACTTGTTCAGCTGCAGCTTGTACAAAAGTCATTGACTGGAAGGGCATCCTGCCCAAGTGCTTAGAATGCATAGAAACTGATTCTAGATTGCAAGCCCAAGCGAAGCGTCTTCAAGGGATAACTTTGAAGCATTGCTGACATGAAGTACCCTGTGAAAGATTTACACCACTCTAGTGGAAAGCTTTCTGATAAATTGGTATTTGGTGCCTTCCCATATCCAATGTAGTAGCCAATTGTGAGCGTACCTACCAATTACTTTAAAGATGTCAAATGGGACTCCATGCACATATTTATGCTTACTGTGTGAGGTAGGATACTCCTGGTTTCCATCATCCATCCATCCAATTTTCTGATTACATTCTGCCTCATATTAATAGTTCTGCCTAATATCAATTAATAATATTAGTACTTAATAATGTTAAGTATTCTGCTGCAGTGCTGTAGAAAGTCAGTTAATGAAGTTCCTTTTCCTGGCCAGCCTTGAGAAAGATTGCCTCTCTAGCCTTGATGAAAACTGCATTTGTTAACTTTCTAATTGAGCTTTACATTGGGTGGGCACACCTGTCAGCAGCTGCAGGCAAAGGGGAAAGACAAGTGGACCTGGGCATGGTGGGATAGAGAGAAGACCAATGGGAAGGGAGTAGAGAAGGCCGGGCTTCTCAGGAGTGGTGGTGGGAAGCAGAAGTCCCACATACTGCTAACAAATTTCCACATGCTGTGAGTATCAAGACTACCAAGGACTTCCCCACCTTGTGATGCATAGAGAGTGGGATTGGGTTCATTGAGTGAGACAGCTATGTGAGTGTCTTGCTTAATGGTCATGACAATTTACAATCAAAATTCCAGGCTCAATTGTGGTCATAGGTCAAGTGGCAGCGTGGAAGGTCTACCTGTATTTCAACCAAGCTCCAACTTACTTCACTTCAGGTAGAAGTCCTGCCCATTATTTATTTAACATCACATCCCCAAATATCAGAAATTCTTTTACACTGGCACATAGTAATACAGTCTCATTTTTTTTCTTTGAGAGGGCAGATTTTGCACTGTTTCTCAAATCCGCCATCTGTATTTATGTGGTGGGAAGAAAATCCAAATTGTGAGTCATGTATTGCTCTGTTGTCTCTTTTATACATACATTTGTGGTTTTTGTACTTCTCTCTATATAACAAGGGTGTCAAACTCAATTTCATTGAGGGACGCATCAGGGTTGTGTTTGACCTTGCGGTGCTGGATGGGCATGACCGGAGTGGGCATGGCCAGCTTCTCATCACTCATGTCAGGGGGCACCTGTAGTGGCCAAGGCGGAGCTTGGGCGAATCCTCCTGCAGCCCTCTGCCAGTGAAAATAAAGCCCAGGAGGTTTGCATGCAGCCATCCTGAGCTCCATTTTTGGCAGAAGCACTGCGGGTCGATTCTTTGCTATTTCCAAGGTGGCTCCATGGGCCAAATCTAAGCATGCTGTGGGCTGGATCTGGCCTGCAGGCCTTGAGTTTGACACCCCTGATCTATAACATATCTAGGCAGGCTGGAGGATAACTATCTAGTAGCTGTTCTAGGAAATAGACATTTCAGATAACATATCCAGGCTATGATAGAAGGCAAACAACTGCTTCAAGTAAAGTGAATTACAAAATGGCAAGCAGATGTGATGTTGCACTTAATGAACTGAGGGTAATTCACTGCATCCAAAACTGATGTTGTAAGTCAATATCATTGTTTGATGTTTCATTTAATGACTGTGCCACTTAGCAGTGGAGTTGCTAGTTCCAACTGGGGTTGCTAAGTGTAGACTACTGTTATGTGTACTGGTATACCATGCTGCTTTGTTATTGAAATATCGATTACCTTGTAAGTTATTCTGGACTATGATTTAACATCCTATGCTGATTCACCACTCTGACATCAAACATGTACCATAGAACTTACTCAGAAGACCCCCTGATTAGTCCAACTAGGGTACAAAGTGATCATTTTGAATGTCCTCACTTGGAAACCATCATAATCCTCTATTTGGAGTAGTGAAAATTATTGGTCTTCAGCAGGCCAAAGATGGTTCAGCCAGAGCCATCTTTGTCAACTTCATGTTGACCTGCTCTGTAAATATCCTTGCTAAACTTTCTGACAAGTTTAAGTAGTTAAATTTGATCAGGGTTTTTATGATAGCAATAGTGGAGAATATGTATAGTTTAGGGTTAAAATGTTGGAATCTTGATATTCACAGAGCTGGGTTTTCCCCCTTGCAAACATTTCATTAATTGTGACATTTGCAAAAAGAAAATCAAGCTCAGTAAACATGAAAATCCCCAAAGAAACCTTTTTTCAAATGAATATTTATGATTTGTTTCATTTTAAATGAAGACTGGCCATTTCTGGCAGCTTTCTGCTGGATTCTTTTATACTTGGACACACACCACAAAATGAGTCCTACATCGTAGTGCTGGAAATGCAAGCAGCCCTCTCTAGATGACATCTACGTTTTTTCCAAAACTGAAAATCTGAACATCTAGAAATCGTATTTCACTACTGTCCTTTCACCCTATGTTGATCTAGCAATTCCACTATACAGTGGTATCTGGGTACTCATTGTTAATTGGTTCCAGGAGGCGCAATGATTACCACAAACAATGAGTACCAAACAATTTTTCCCCATAAGGAATAATATAGTGATTCACAAGGAAGCCCTGACAAGTTCTAGCTTGTCAGATAAGTACCAGGACAAAATCTTTGCATAAAAATGCATTGAGAAGCAAATTCGATGAGTTTCAAGGCAGCTGAGTACCAAGTGCCAAAAATTCTTCATTTCTTATTGCTATACTTACAAAGTTGAATTTTTCCTAGCAACCCAGTTAGAATAAAAACAGATGTCCTCTATGTGTTCTCTACTACAACTGCCACTATCACTTTGTCTGGAACTAATATCCTTAAGGCCTGAAAAGGTTATGCTTTATGGATTTGTCAATAAGAGATGGGATATGGGATAAAGAGAACTTTGTAAAATAAAAGAGGGTACAGAGGTACAAAAATAGTTTATACAGTACATGTGATGAAGCTTGGAAGTCACTTTATATATTTCTTCCCCCTCCCCTCTCTATTATATTCTTACTTTTCTTTCTCCCAAAGGTGCTTTTTCAAGAGGCAACTAGACTTTCTGTGTTTTTCTTTGAAGATGTTTCACTTCTCATCCAAGAAGCTTCTTCAATTTCAGAGCTTGGATGAGAAATGAAGTCTTCAAAGAAAAAGCCAGAAAGTCCAGCTGCCTCTTGAAAAAGCACCTCTGGAACAACTATGACCTGGATGATTGAGAATCTCAACAAACATTTAATTTTCTTTCTATTTTTTTCTTCTCTTTTGCACCTTTCTTTTTTTCTTTCTAGTCTTCTTTCTTTTGTATTAGATTTTACTACTGTAATCAAAAACTATGAATACAATTTATGAATTTTATTTTAAAAATTATTCATAAATATAAAAAAGGAAAACTACTGCAATTCGGTATGTGGAGTTGCTAACCCTAGTCAGACTGATTAGCATACATGCCGATAGATGACATACTGGTGTGACATGCGTTATGATGTGAAAAATGTACAATGCTTAATTCAAGTCATTTGCATAAAAATGGAGTCAGGTCAAATTACTCAAAATGACCACTGTAAAACTGGCAAATCGGTCTTGCAACACACTTCAGGATAGACAATGTCAAAATTCTGCCAGACAACCTTTACTCAAGATAGTCCTAACTGTCATTTTCCGTTGTCAAAAATTGTATTCCGTTGCCAATTGGCAGTTTCTGGTATCCTTCATCTTACTGTCCGTTTTCAAGATTTCCCTATCCCCACCCCAAAATATATTTTTCTCCTATAATCACAGGCCAACGTCCTGGTATTTATTAAATAATTGCTAGAATAAAATAAGTGTCCTTTATCATAGTT